TCCGGAGGTGTGGAGGTGGTTGTTTTTGTGGTTATAAAATAATAGACTTTGTGATCCCATTGCATCCCTATAAATTTCAATCCTATATTACAAACTATTCAAAAATTATTTAGGTGGCCTGAAACTTTTGGTAGGCACTGTATAACACAGGTTTTTTCGTTAGGTGGAATCATTATCGTCAGAAAATTCACGTATTATAAAATCGCAAGGACAATTTTCTATAAACAAATATAATATTTGTCACACACACACACACATACGTACACGCACACACGCACAAACACGCATACACAATATAATTCTTATGGAAGTGATTTTGATTCTTATTGACTTTCAAAGTCATTCGTTAATTCACATATATACCTACTGTTGTGCACATTTACAAGCATAACTTTTGATTTTATATGAGTAATAGGAATGATTTTACATCTTTCGAAATTTTCTGACTTAATTTTTTTTATATGCGGTACCTTGAAAGGGTCGTCTTCAAATAAATTAATGTTTGAAATTTTCAAGTAACATTTGTTTTCACTACTAATTATGTCTACTATTTGTCCAAAAATGGAAGATTCCAATTTCACTACAGAATCTTGTGTGCGTTTTGTGCGCGTGTATTTAATACTATGCAAAACTTTACCTCTATATATACATTTTTTATATAATTTACAAAGCTTTCCGTCAATTATGTCAATAGATCTTTTACCAACAAACAATACATTATTTTCTCCATAATCGAAATATGTCGATAATCTCCTAAATGTAAACAAATTCGAACAGAAATCTCGAATTTCAACGGAAGAATATTCAATATTCCCTGTTTTGAAATGAAACATTTGTAAATGTTTCCTCGATATTTGTTTATCCATTCCGTTTGGCCCATTGACAAATTGCTTTAATTTGTAAATATTGCTCTCAAATGGAAACGTTGAATTTGACCAAAGAGGACCAGTTTTCTTTATTGAATGAACAACATGTAACAAACTGTGAACATTAAAGGTCATGTTATTAGTTCCATACATTATTTCATAGAGTCCTGTAAATTTTAAAAGGTCACGTTCACATTCGACTAATTCTCTCTGACTAATTTTTGTTTTTAACAATGTATAAAAACTTTTAACTAACAGAGAATAATGCTCCAAAGCTTCATCTTTGATAATTCCTCCCAAACATGGTAAACTATAATATAAAACCCAAGATTTAATCTCAGAAGCCTTCCATTTGCCACGATCTTTTAATGATCGTGGAAGTCTGTGTATATCATGAGTGGGAGTAATGGTTAATAAGCGTTTTTCAATGGCTTTTATGTCGGAATGGTTGAGCTTGAAATTACATTGCGTTTTTGTTGATGTCCATTGTTTATAAATTTGTTGATCTACACCAGCTAAAAGTCCATGTAGATAATCGAAACTAAAGGACCAAATCATGTCTATTTGTGGAATTATTGATACAGAGGTTTTACCTTTCACACCTCTCTCTGAGATTTTTTTTGTTGAAATTACGACTTGAACATCTCTAATGTAATTCTCTTTACTTCGTAAATCTGGATCAGTTATTTGCATTGGATACCTGATTCCTGAAACATCCTTAACGTAAACGCCAATGTGGTAGCACCATGAACAACCGTAATATCCATTAAACTGTAATCTATTTTGTAAAATAGGCCGACAAACGGAATCTACACTGAAAGCTAGAGGACAAAATTTGACGACAATTACTTTGTTATTCAAATTTGTTGTTACAATACCCTCTCTGTATAAACGCAATGCTTCTTCGTTGAATTTTGAAAAGTATAAGCTACATAAATCACTGTTAGGTTCTTTTGTTGTTGTTAACATCCCAGCAAGAAGAATAAACTTAAACCTACTTTTAGGTGGTAGAAAATTTGGAAGTATTTGAAGTGGCCAAAATCCTCTTTTTCCGCTTTTTGTTAGTGGCGCCCCATCGGTACTGACATTGTACGTTAAGTATATGTTTTCATTATTGATTTTTTTATACTGTTCGCTATCATAAATATCTTCAACTGATTCATTTGATTTATTTCGATTAATTGAATCTTGAAACTGTAGAATTTCTTTTTTTATATCTTGGTTTTTAACTAACATTTTCAATTGGTACGTTAGATCTATTGACATAAAGTAATTCTTTGAATTAATATTTATCTCACTTTGTGTTGAACAGTTCAAACAAGTTATTTTTTTTCTAGTAATATTTTCGTGAGATCCAGAGTATATAATCGTCTTATTACAAATATCGCAATAATAATGATATTTTATTTTATCGTCTGGATGATCAAATGTTTGCTGAAACCTATACTTGGATATATTTACTTTTCTTGACGCAGGTCCTGCTAATAATTTAATCATATCGATTAAATGTTCTCTGCCAATATCTGATAACTTGAACCGTATTGAAAATGCCATAGTTAATGTCATAACATCTCGCACGGTCAGTTGAGAGGCTTCGAACATAATGATGTCATCAAATGGCTCATCGTCCGTGTTTTCTGAGTTATCATCACTGTTATTGATATCATAAGATCCATCGTTCGTATCATAATTGTTTGAACTGCATGAAAAAGATATCATTAATAATTATGCATACACACACATACACGCATACGCACACGCACGCGCACACGCACACGCAGACAGTAAAGAGAGTACACCAAAACAGTTTTCTATTTTTATCAATTTTCATGTATTGTAGATAAAACAAGTAGGAATAAAAATTGCACATCCAGTATTCCCATACAGCACAGAAAGTAAAAATAATTTTGCTGGAACGTTGCAATGTTGAATGTTGAAGTATAAATATCTTTTCTACGTTGAATCTAGGTTAATGTTTGTACATTGATTCTTTATGTTGCTGCAACGTTAAAACAATCTTGAACAAATTATTATTTTTTGACACTCAAATAGATACTTAAAAAAGGTATAATTATGAAATGTATATACAGGGTGGGGAAAAAGTACCGGACCGGTGAAATATCTCGACAAATATAGGAGATACGGAAAAATGTTTCAGACAAAAGTTGTACGGTTTTAAAAGGGCTATATAACGGTAAAATAAATTTTCGAAAAAAATTAATTTTTTATGGTTTATGGAGGTCGCCGTCATTTTTTTAAATGGAACTCCCTATTGTTCATTATACTATTTTATTCTACTAATTAATATGAACT